TGGTCAGTCAAATAAGGAGATGACACATTTGTTTCTTTGTTATGAGAAAGAAATATTCACCTTTCTAAGAGAGTGTGAAAGTGAACCGGTATGCATTTCAATTAAGGAGAATGGGTAGGCTATCTCTGAGAAATATAAGAAGAAAACTTACTTTGGAGAAAAATGTTAAATAAATACAGACAAATGGAAGGACTCTGAATGGGAGACTTTGTTCCTCAGAATGTTGCTGCCTCTGAGATGTAAGGTGCACAAAAAAAGATATTATGAATGGTTTGTTACAGGAAATGTTGCAAAAAACTCTTCCTTTTTAATCTTACTTTAGAAGATTAGCAGTGTTTTTCATTCACTTCTTCACCTAAGCCTCTATTTTGCTGTCATGTGTAGCAAAACATCACAGTGGTTTTTTTTGTGAATAAATACCTTTATTTATCTATTTATTTTTTACTTCAGCCTGTTCCTGGTTAAAGATTACTAGGTTCTTTACAAAATGTGCTGTCTAAGTATAAAATTCCCTGTTACAAGATACTGAAAGTTGTTATGTTTTTTGAGAGAAACTGAACAAGTTCATACAGGAGAAATCCATTGAGGATTACTGAAAAACGAAAACAATTTTTAGGTCAAGGAGTTTTTGTGTTGCAGACACTTGAAGGCTAGGAAAATGTGTGGTGGAAGTACCAAAAAAGGTTGCCTGGTTCTCTATACTCATCTGTTTTTTATTGTAGTGATAGACATGACAATGGATTTTATATTCCCAACTAAGTAGTTCATTTAATCTTTTTGGGGATTTATTTTACCCAAAATAAACAAGTAGTCCTTATTCAAAGGTTTGACAAATACGGAAACAAAGAAGGAGCCTTTATAATTTTCCAGTTCCATAGGACATATTTCAGGTACTCAAAGTGTAATAGCAAGTGAATCCTCAGAAGCTACACAGTCCAGGTAGACAGTTGATACCCAAGGCATCAGAAGTGTTTTCCAGTAATCATTGCAATAAGCAAGGCATATTGTGCAGCAAGGTATTCAGGATCACTGCTGAACCCCCAGAGTCCTCAAGAATTTGTTACTCAGAAAGGTGGTCACCTGAATATTGATCTCCTGATTCCCTCAGGAACAATGTGATCTGGTGGAGATCTAGTGGTAGTTTTGTGCTCATCCACTGGTACCCTCTTTCCCCAGTGCATCGGAAAGTGACGCCAGGGGATTCATGGTTCTATGAGTTCTTAGTCCTGCTATATCCTAGGAGTCTTGTCTTTAAAGGATGTTTGAGAGTGATTCTGGCTATATAGTGAAGCTTAAACACTCATAAGTTTTTCCCAGTCTTTCCAACAAACTAATATTTTTTCTGGATAATTTATAAAGTAATCTTGTGAAGCAGCTGTATTTTCACTAGACGCAGCCTGAGCTGTATGCTTAGTAGTGAAGCCTTACAACTATAAGATATTTTCTGCTTACGAAAAATGCTCATATCTGTAGAAAAAGGATTGTTGCTGAGTAAAAGGTATGAAAGCTTCAGTCATATACAGGGTTTATATGACATTAAACCCCCTAAAACCTTGATAGGTCTGATATCTAACCCTGACAGGCCCAAGTGGCTTGAGAGAAAGCTCTCATAACCAAATTCTTTCATATGAGCAGTTCAATTTCCCTTTTCTAGCTCCAGGGCAACTTTCTTAACCAAGACTTTCATCAGACCTTCGGCTTTATGTGGGCACAGGAATACAACTAAGTGGAGTTTCTTGCAGAACGGAGACATGAAACTTCACTTGTCTCAGGAGAAAGGCACTTACGGAAGAATGAAGTGTGAAGCAATCATTTAGCAGCAGATTGGACTCAAAACCTAACAACTCTATGATCCGTAGAAGTATATGCTTTTAAAACCATGTTCAACTTAAGACAATGTTCTACCATTTTGTGTTAAAATCTTTAAGACAGCAAGAACAAAATAAAATGACAGAGAAAATAACATTCAAATGCTCATTTGCCATATCATTCCTATCCAAAAGTCCCCAAACTCTGAGTCAGCAGCTCAAATTTTAATATTTTAATAATAGTTAGTCTTCTACTACTGTCTGGATATGTGAGAACATTACAACTGTGATTAAGCATTATTTGTTTTGTAACTATGCCAGAGAGTTCTTGCCTTTGTAAAGTTAATACAAATCATACGAAATGTAGCACATTAAAGTTTTTCTTACTTCTTCTGAGGTCAACACCAGTATTACAAATGAGAATCTTGGGTTAGACCTGTAAATTGTTTTGTTCCTGCTCCTAGATTTAAAATGCAAGAAAAGGAAAATTTGGTACTCTAGAGAATGGAATAGAAATTGAGAGAAAACACAGTTTACTTGGTAGTTCTGTAAAAAACAGAAACATATAGTTATTAAAAAGACTTAAATAATGTACAACTTTCCTGTAGACCCCCCCTTAGGTACTAGAAGGCTGTTACAAGGTCTCCCTGGAGCCTTCTCTTCTCCAGGCTGAACAGCCCCAACTCGTTCAGGCCCTCTTCGTAGGAGAGGAGTTCTATCCCTTGGATAATCTTCATGGTTCTCCTCTGGACTCAGTCCAGGTCCGTCATGTTGGGGCCCCAGAAATGGATGCAGAACTCCACGTGGGGTCTCACCAGATCAGAGTGGAATGGGAGAACCCCCACCCTTGACCAGCTGGTCACCCTTCTTTTGATGCAGCCCAGGATACTGTTGGCCTTCTGGGCATCAAGCATATGTTACCAAGTCATGATAAGCTTCTTGTCAACCAGCATCCCCAAGTCTTCTCTCTCAATCCACTTTTTTGCCTAGCCTGTAATTGTGCTTGATATTTCCCTGGCCCAGGTGCAGGACCTTGAACTTGGCTTTGTTGAACTTCGACTTCAACTTTACACAGACCACCACTCAAACCTGTCAAAGACTCTCTGGGTGACTTTCCTTCCCTCTAGTGTGTTGACCACACCACACAGCTTAGTGTTGTCAGCACACTTGCTGTGGGTACACTCGATTTCACTGTCCATGTTATCAACAAAGATGTAAACCAGTGTCTGTTCAAATACTGGTGGTCTTAATATGTATAGATTAGTAGATTCCCAAAAGAAATGTCACTGAAATTGTAAATGAGTCCAAAAGCTTCAGAAAACGCAAAATTGGTGCTGACAGTATCTCACAATCATGAACATGAGATATTTCTCATATAATTGTTCAAATTCACCTCCCATTTTCTCCCATTTACTTTTACATCCTTAATAGTTACACTGGTTTTACTTCTGATGTATATAAATGAGTTTCAGAACAAACTCCATTGCTGTTTCGTTTGCCATCTCATATTTGTTCCTTAGATTTTTTTGCCCTGCTCTTTCCTGTATGATTTTGCTGCTGTGTTTCCCTACAAGGCAACTGTTTATGTCTTCCTTCTCATATCATTTTTATTTACATCTTTAATTTCTGCTGTTTCTGAAGCTGCTTCTTTGCACAATTTTTTTAGTAGTAAGGGACAGAGAAGCTTGCAACTTCCTTCCCTTGGTACACACATAAATCCTGTCACTGTCCCATAGCTCACACATTGCTCTTTGATATACCAACATGCCTCTCTAAAAAAAAAAAAAAGAAAAGTATTTGCATATTAATTATACCTCATCTAGTAAAAATGAAACAAATACCTGTAATTATGCAGAGGCACCACACACTTGCACATTGTTAAATCAGTAAGAATGGAAAAGAAAGCTCCTGAAAATGAATTTGCAGTACATGTTAACTATGTGAGACTCAAACACGTGGTATTGCATTGCATGTGTAGAGAAATCTTTATGAATTATTATATTACTCATACTATTGATAGATACTTTTAACCATGTCTTTTGTGCAGCCAGTTCCTAAGAATTAGGGATTAAATGGATTTGGTATTTGAACAATGACCCAAACTCTCAACATCTGTCTCCTGATTTCTCTACAGCAAACTCACGCTCAGAAAAAAATTTGAGTCCCTTAAAATGAGACATACAAAATGCAACTTAAAGAAGTACAAGTCACCTAATGTAAGAAATATTGAGTGCTGATGAGAATGCATTTTAACCTAAGACACTATAAAGCTATTAGGGGTTCTACTGGGTTCATAACCTTGAATGTTACTCAGGGATTAGACACTTAAACCAGTTTCTTTTCTAGACTGTGACAGAAAGAAGTTGTACTTCTGTCTGCTCTTATAGCCTAGTAGATAGAAGTTTCATCAATTATACTGTATATTTATATTGCAGTTCTTCTTATTTTGTTCGAAAACACTTAAACTATGTCTCCAAAATCAAATCTTAATAGACATAATATTTAGAGAGGAATGTGAACATATTCTTTCTCTAGTTAAAATTTGCCCACTTTGAACAGAGAAATGGTATGGAGGAAAAAAACAAGAACTGTTTTACAGTCCAGCATGGAGAGTATTTTCTCTTTGGACTTTACAGAAAGTATATTCTTCAGTCAACATATATATCTTTCTTTACTTAAATGAGTTCTGGACACTGCAAAAGCAAAGTAGTACTACTTGTTCCAGCTACATTTTACATAAACTCAAATGAGAACATTTCCACTTAAAGTAAATACTGAACCAAATAATTTGTGAGTCTGTCTGTGTAATGAGCATAAGATGGTCATCTAGAATTTAATTTATAGAATTTTGAAAGAACACAATCTTGATGAACTCAAACATTAGTCCTCACATAATTTTGAAAACGTGCACCAGAGAACAGCATACTCAGACCATAGGAAAAATAACGTTGAAACTATTTGCACACCAGGGAGATTTTACTTCGTAAAATAGAAAGAAATTAATCACCTTGAAAGGTAAAGCTCTTGTTTAAAACTCTATCTACAAAACAGAGTATTCTTAATCGCAACATTTCTGAGGAACCTCCCACTTCCTTTATGTTTGCACTTCCCATTTGAAATTCATTTCTGGTCAAGTTTTTGACAAAGTCGCTCTGCTCTTGAGATTGAATGTTCCCTCCGAACGGGGAACAACTTTCTCTCTGCTGCATGTCAGTAACCTGTGGAAGATACAGAGTGCCTGGAACTATTTACTTGGTAGTTTGGTACATCATCAAGTATAATCTAAGCCACAGGAACCCTCCAGTCAGTACCAACATTTCACGAAAGGCCAAGGGTGAGAGGCCACTTTTTTCTGTAGACAGCCTCCTAGTGCTGCAGTGATTTGGTATTTTTGCTTTACCCTTCTCTCAGTCTCTTCATGTCAACTTCGTTTTATGATGTTTCTTCTTTTTGACACAGTCCCAACTTTCCATTTTCATCCAGTGTTTGGGGTTTTTTTGTTTTGTGACTGGAAGGTCTTCAGAACCCAAGACAACAAAGAAATGTGCACTTACATTTATTGGCTACTGAATCATTTCAGGACTTGATAAAGCGGCTATTACTTCTACTATTGAAGTACACAGCCCTTTTCTATGAAATGCATTTTCTCATCCTTTAAAGAGTATGCCAAGATAAACACGTCATATAATATTAATTAATAAAATATGTAATGTTTAATACCTGAAATTACATGGTTTTGGGTAGGAACAGATGGAAGATCAGCTTTAAACAAAAGCAGAAAACAAGTGTAGCAAAAGGGGGTCTGAGAAATGCCAGGAAAATAAGCCTACTGTTTTGCAAGTACTGAGACAATATCTCTTTTAGTTGTATGAATAAATTAAATAAGTTTAATGATCCTGAAGCCATTTATGTGGAGAATATTGATTAAAAATGTGACCATAACTGTGGTATCAGAAAACAATAGTCAGTAAAATCAGTAAGATCTGATTAAAGTTAAAGAAGTGACTTTGAACTGCCATAGCATAAATGCTAGTTAACAGCTCATAATTATGAGAAAGCAAATTTGCAATACAATTAGGATGCAAGTGCCAAATTTCAAATTTAAGCAGAAGATTTTTAAAAAAAAATTGTTTCTTGTAATTTACAATCAAATGTTGTGTTGTTCATCCTTTTGATTCTCTTCAAAATTAGCTTGTCAAATTTGCTGAGAAAATTTTCTTAGAAACTAGCAAAGTTGTCAAGTAAAGTCATCATTGAAAGAGAAAGAAGAATTAGAATCTCATGTTTTGTGCAATTATTTGAATATTTTGTAAGTATAAACTTCTGTGACTGTTAAAAAAGCAGAAGATTATTTTCAGCCTTTTTCCCTGGAGATACTTGGTTCATATAGAAGATTCTTAGAACCTGCCATCTTTAGTGTAGACCATATCTTGGTCTACACTAAAAAGCAATGGATTAAAAGCAGAAATGGCTCTTTGGCTACACTGCTTAATTAAAGTGAGTCAAAGACCAACCTCTCTCTTTGAGGCCAAGTAGTTATCAACTAGTTTTTGTCCACACTTGTCTAGTTGATGGCTAGGCCTTTAGAGAAAGAGAATGTTACGGAAATTCACAACCTTGTCATGAAATGAGATAACAAGAGGCAGTGTATAGAGTGAGGTGTCGAGAACTTAAGTTTCCTCTCCAGTTTTCTCTTTTCAGTTCTGAAGAGGTATGTCTGTAAGCAATACAACTTCTTAAGTCACTTAGTGACACCTGGCATGAGGAGCAGAGACAGATAGGCCCCCAGTTCTTTTATTTAGCAGTTGCAGACATCATCGATTCTGTCTCTGGTCGACTGAGGGAGTCATAGCCAATTATTCCTTGTTTTGTGCTTGTCCTCCAGCTTCTATGTATAACAGAGATTTTAGTAGTCAATGCTTTAGGGCATATTTACCTAACTTCCAGTAATTTCAAACTAGGGTTCTAATTCCAGTTAAAAAATTAATTGCTGGTGAATTGAGCATTGAGATCCACAATTGAAATAGACACCTACCTTCTTGATCATCAAACAATTAGGTCTAAAGCATTTATATATATGTCACTGAAGAGTAAAAAATTACTGTAGTTGGGATCCGTCAGACATCAGTTGGCCACCCTATCTAACGATAAAAGCAAGAAGTTCTAAGACACAGGCATTAATGTAGATACTTCTGTTGATAAGTTGAGTTCTATCTTAAATTAATTACTGGCACTGTTGTGACTAGCTCACAAGCAGATGTCTACAAGTTTATTATCTGAAATAGTGCAATGAATCCCAGCACATAAGACAATTAGTCTGAAATAAGTCATATGGTGTTAGCACTTGGTAAAGCTGACATGGTTGATAGAGACCAGTACAATTTCTCTGAGGATTTTGTGCTGAAAATCTAATAGTGCAGTGAATTCTACCAAGCTGTAAAGGGTGAGATTCTGTCCCAGGCTGAAGAACTCCAAATTTAGGTATCAGAACCTTGTTTCTTCATGTAACTGAGATATTGCCTTATATCACTCTTCTGGAGTGACAGACAGGATGGCTTATGCTCCATGGTATCTCAAACAGCATTAGATATTTTTGTGTCACAACTGAATCAAACTTTATTGATCAGGTATTTGTTAATTATTATTAAGCTCAGTGTAGGTATTTCAATACTCTCGTGATCTGAACCTGCCACAACATATCTGGCCTTGAAAAAGGAACTGAGCCATAAGTACTTTTTAAGATTGTAATTACAAATAACTTTAAAAATATATTTCTGAATAATAGCATCAGATTTTCAGAAGTTCACACCTCCACAAATGATTAAAATAATTTACTAGTTTTTCATTTAACGTAGTGACTTGTAGAAGTGTTAAATTGCAAACACCTCACTTGAGAATATTTTTACTGAGTATTTTGTAAGATTTTATCTACAATAATGATAATTCACTAATAATATCAAACAGTCATTCAGCTACTGGCCTGTCAAGATCTTTGAAATTTATGTGTATGTGTGTGCATATAGATATAGATACATAGATATATATATGTCCCTGTATCTATTATATATAGATATAGATATATCTATTTTTATAGGTATTGAATGTCTTGGAATCCTCTTTCTGGATTGTTCCTTTACTGGAGAAAAAGAGATTTAGTGTTTTCCCTGGTTTGATCTGAAATGAAACCTCTACTACCCCAGTTAAATTTTTACAAAATAGTTTCAGTGTTGAAAAAGAATCAGATTAAATTTCCTTGAGACACTATACACCTTTCATTATGCTGAACTGTACTTCAAGGCCAAGTGAAGATTCTATTGAAATAGTTATAAATTATTATTTAGTTTAATTCAAATATTTATTTTTTTTTAAATCTGACATTTTTAAAAATCTGACAAAGACTATTGCATTGAATGTTATGTTTCAGGTGATTACATGTACGGTTTGTGTGCTCACAAATAATGAAAGAAAAGCACATCATACAATCAGACCTTTTAGTGGGAGAAAAAATAATTAAAAAAAAAACAAGGAAGAGATTGTGCAGACAAGTATTTGGTGAACTTGCTTATTTTTCTGGAATAATTTGTTTCCATGAATATTACAGCAGTAAAAATGGAAATTATAAGGCCACGAGACTTATATGGAACATTAAAGTAAAAGTAATAGAGGAAAGTTGAAATCCAAATTAGAAGTCATAAAAAAATCAGCTTTGTATTGACACATATGCATGTGTGAAGCTACATGTCTATATAAATGGGCCAAATCCAACAGTATGAGGTTCAACAAGACCAAGTGCCAGGTCCTGTACTTTGGCCACAACAACCCCCTGCAGTGCTACAGGCTGGGCACAGAGTGGCTGGAGAGCAGCCAGGCAGAAAGGGACCTGAAGGTACTGACTGACAGCAGGCTGAACATGATCCAGCAGTGTGCCCAGGTGGACAGAAGCCCAGTGGCACCCTGGCCTGGATCAGGAATAGTGTGACCAGCAGGACCAGAGCAGTGATCTTCCCCCGTACTCAGCACCGGTGAGGCTCCACCTTGACTACTGTGTCCAGTTCTGTGCCCTTCAATTTAGTAAGGAAGTTGAGGTGCTGGAGTGTGTCCAGAGATAGGCAACAAGCCTGGTGAAGGGTCTGGAGCACAAGTCCTATGAGAAGTGGCTGAGGGAGCTGGGATTGTTTAGCCTGGAGAAGAGATCCAGGAGAGACCTTATCACGCTCTACAACTCTGAAATGAAATTGTAGCCAGGTGGGGGTCTGTTTGTTCTCCCAGGCTACTAGCAGTAGGACAAGAGGGCACAGTCTTAAGCTGCTCCAGGGGAGGTTTAGATTAGACATTAGGAAGTAGTTCTTCACAGAACAAGTGATTGGGAATTGGAATGCCCAGGGAGGTGGTGGAGTCACTGTCCCTGGGGAGTATGTAAGAAGAGACTGGATGTGGCACTTAGTGCCATGGTCTAGTTGACTAGGTGGTGTTAGGCCAAAGGTTGGACTCAATGATCTCAGAGGTCTTTTCCAACCTAGTCGATTCTGTGATTCTGTGATAAATTATTCTCATATACGTACACTTTTGCTTCACATATATTTCTTTTATTGGAAAGTTGAGAACAAAGCTTTTAATCCACTATGGTCACAATAGTAATGCAAATGTAGTATTCCTCATAGAACAATGTTCATAGAAGTTATAAAACATTGTTTTGCTAGCATGGTACTAATGAAGCATGTGTTGTTTTTTTCAGATTTGTGACCTGCAGTTGACTGCAAGCATTGAGTGTTGCTCTATTCAGTGACTGGGGTATTTATAACATGCCTCTCTGTGGTTTAATAGAAAGCTGAAGAACTTTTCTTTATCGCAAGTTTTTTTCACAGAACTTCAGGAAACTTCATTATCCTCATGCCTTTTTGTCTTTATTGATTCAAAACTACCAGTGAGCTCAAAAACATTTTTCATGATGACATACAGACAGACACAGGTAAACATACCAAGATCACTACATGAAATTGTTTTCTAAGAAAACAAGGATAAAAACAGCTCATCAGATAGATATCTCTGTATACCATATTGTTGTTGATAAAATATGGAGTTATGTCATTCTGAGTGCTTTCAATATGCTGTAATTGGTAGGTGACATAACACTGACACCAAGTGCTTTCAAATTATCTTTCATATTTAGGCCTTCTATATCCATTTGATAGACAGTGCTGTATTAAACAGTTTCTCAAAACAAAATCAGACTAAAAAGTAGCAGTTTTCTGTCAATATGTACTTCTGGAAATGACAGTTCTAATCTTTCTGCGCCTGCAGATAATGGATGTTCAAAGATCCTTTCATCACAAATGACCTCTAGAAATCTGGATTCTAAGCAGGGAAAGACTTCAAAATAAAGAACAGTCCTCTAAGCTGGAAAAAGTAATGAAAATAGTGACCATTATGTCAATCAACTTAAAGGGAAAAAAAAGAAAAAGACAAGGAAAAGGAAGGTTTTGGTTTTGGGGTTTTTTTGGCCATATTTTTTGTTTAAGGATAGTCTGGGTATGACCATCTCAGCTTTGTCTTTCAAAGAAATTCATTATATTATTAGGTAGAGTTTTGTTTGAGTCTCAATTTTTCTGAAGCAATGTCTACTTTGTTACCAATACAATTTTACAAAGCTTACAGATTCATACATTTAGTCATAGATTAATGGGATAACTTTATCAATATACAAAGTTAGCCAAATATTCTGAAGTAGCTTATGGTCAATTTTCAACACAATTAATTTTATTCTTATCTTTTGAGCTATCTTTTTCCAAGGGTGTGGTGTAAAAAATGATAGTTTTTGCAAAATCTGAAATCAGCGGTATTTTTTCATTACTGGTTTTTACCTGAAAATTCATTGGTTCAGATGCTGACATTCTCCTGTATCTGGTCTAATAAATTTCATGCTTATATTAGGAGAGGCAAATAGTACCTTCTGATTTATAAACAGGGCCTAATCATGGTTCAAATAAATCATTACCAAATAATAATTTATGTATAATATATGTGAACACTGAACCAGTTCACAGCTGATGAAAAAGATTTAAGATTTTTTGCAAAACTTAGTTTATAAGCAGTTCTTGTTCTAATTGTGACCGGACTGACAGTTCAGTGAAATTGTTTGTGATTCACACCAGAATACTGAAAGCAGAATTTAGACTCACATAAACTTGTGTGCATGTCCTGGACAAAGGTACCTGAAAGCAGTGTTATAACATGTGGGTTTGTAACATGATTTCTATAGGATAGAATAGACAGAAATTCTATTCAATCAAATCATATGATCATGGCATCTCATCTCTAGGGTTTCAGAGAATCCAAAACCAAGGGCCTTTTTGAGATGTTATTCCTTACATTTCCTTTGTGAGCATCATGATATAAAAAGATTACCTCTCTGTCCTGGAGGCAGATACTGTAAGAACCTTCTCTTCCATGAAAGATTCCTGGTCCTTTACTGGAATTGGTGTCAGTTATGAGATGTCCATGAGAAGAGAAAACAGAGTGGAAGTTTTCTAGATCAGCTGTGTGTATCTGGGGAAAAAAAAAAACAAAAAAAAACCAAAAAACAAAAACTACAGAAGGTATTGCTTATCTCAGATTTTCTCCTTAACATTTGGATGGCCACAAATTCAAGCTGAAAGGTATTGGGCTGGTAGACAATGTGGATATGTGCAACTCTTACAGCACAATATAGATGTGGTAAAGTGAGGCTTGTAAAGAGAGAACACTCCTGAAGGGAGTTGCACATATCCACACAATCTACCTGCTCAATAGGATGCCTATGACCTTGCAGTCATATACTAAAGTAAAATCAATGAAAAAGTAAATAAAATGCAGAGGATTAATATGCCACTTTTAAAAGTCAAATAGCAGATAAACAGACACATTCTTTTTAAAGTACCTGCACCCTCCAGTGTAAAGCTGTAATCTTAAAGTTGCTCTGGCAACAAGAGGAACACTTCCATACCTGACAACTGAACTGGATGAGCAAGTAAGGATTTTTATTAATATAACATGTCTTCAAAAAAGTCTCCAAGTTATAAAAATCAGAACTAATGGTAAATACATGCATCAACAACATTCATTATTAGTTTTATTGAAACCAAACTGTAGATGCTAAACAAAAATCAATACTTATGATGAAATCAGATGAAAGGCATCATGTTGAAGTGAATTTAACTCACAATTAATGTACATCTTTAATTGAAAAACCCAAAATTAAATCTGGAAGAGCAGAAGGGCAATAGAACCAAAGAAATGTTTTTATAGTGTACTTCAGAACAGAATTACCCCATCTTGTCATCATTCTTCATATTTAAAAAAAATATATATGTAGTCTAGACAGATGACATTTATTATATCATGATAATAAAGTAAGTTTCTAAAAAGGTAGATTTGAAAATTTGAAAAAGAATAGTTTTCCTCTTCCATTTATCTTCCCATATTATTTACAGATCTCATCATTTTGACTCATACAAGCAGATGAACACCACCAAAGCCTTGACTCCTTGTATTCTCTAAATATAGGTCATTGCAGTTTCTGTTATTCTGTAAAAGTTAACAGAGGGAAAATCAGCATTTTACTCCAATTCGGTTAGCCATATGCTACACTAAACGATAGCTATAGTTTAAGGGATGGAATTATTTCTGGTATGTTGCATACTACTTTATTGTTTTTACTGCTGTTTATGTTAGGTCATGCTTAGGTGCCTCATGCAAGGTTTTACTACCATTGGACAGATATATGTGATGGAATATCACTGAGTGGGCTTCTTATTTCTATGGAATGCACTGGAAATACTCAATTTGTAATTCCTTGATGACTACAAATAAAAGAATTTCAACCCAGAGGAGGGATAGTTCTATATGAAGAAATATCATGGAATGGTTTGGGTTGGAAGTGACCTCAAAGATCATCTAGTTCCAATACCCTTGCCAGGGACATCTTTCACTAGGCTAGGTTGCTCAAAGCCCTGTTCAACACTTCCAGGGATAGAACATCTATAACTTCCCTACATGCTCTTGTAAAAATTCCCTCTCCAGCTTTCTTGTAGCCCCCTTTAAGTACTAGAAGGAACTATAACTACTGCTATAAGGTCTGCCAGACCCTTTTTTTCTCCAGGCTGAACAACTCCAACTCTCTCAGCCTGTCTTTATAGAAGTGTTCCAGCCCTCTGATCACTTTGGTGGCCCTACTCTGGACTTGCTCTAGCAGGTCTATGTCCTTCTTATGTTTGGGACCCCAGAGTTGGATGCAATAGTCCAGGTGGAGTCTCATGAAACAGGAATAAGGGGGCAGAATCACCTCCCTTGACGTGTTGGCCACACTCCTTTTGATGCAGCCCAGGATACAGTTGGCTTTCTGGGCTGTGAGTGCACATTGCCAAGTCGTATAAATTCTCACTCACCAACACCTCTGAGTCCTTCTCTTCAGGGCTTTGCTCTCACTCCAGTCTCTGCCCAGTCTGTGTATGTACTTGGGATTTCCTTGAACCAGGTGTAGGATCTTGCACTTGGTCTCGCTGAACTTCACAATGTTCACAAGGTTCGCACCGGTCCACCTCTCAAGCCTGTGAAGGTCCTTCTGTATGGCACCACTTCCCTCCAGTCTGTCGACTGCAACCCTTAGCTTGCTGTCATCAGCACACCTGCTGAGTGCATACTTGATACCACTGTTCATGTTCCTGCCAAAGATTTAAAGAAACGTTGGTCCCAATGTCAGTCCCTGAGCTGTGCCACTTGTATACTTGTCTTCACTTGTACATTGAGCCATTGACTCTTTGAGTGCAACCACCCAGCCTGCTGAAGACTGAGGGAAAAAGGCATTGAGTACCTCAGCTTTCTCTGAGGTATCCCGGGTAACCAGGTCTCTCATTTCCTTCTAGAGACAGCTCACACTTTCCCTAGTCTTCCTTTTATCACCAACATGCCAATAGAACCTTTTCTTTTTGCCCTTGACATTTCTGGCCAGTTTTAATTCTATCAGGGCTTTAGCTTTCCTAACCTGATTCCTGGCTGCTTGGACAATTTCTCTGTATTCCTCTCAAGCTATCTTTCCCTGCTTCCACACTTTGTAGGTTGCCTTTTTTGTGTTTGAGTTTTTCCAGGAGTTCCTTGTTCATCCATGCAGGTCCCCCAGCATTTTTGCCTGACTCCCTCTTTTTTTGGGGTGCATTGCTCCTGAGCTTGGAGGCAGTGTTAACTGAATATTAATCAGTTTTCTTGGGCTTCTCTACCCTCTATGGTTTTATCCAATACTCTACCAAGTGGATCCCTGAAGAGGCCAAAGTCTACTCTCCTGAAGCTGAGTGTAGTGAGCTTGAGGTGTGCCCTGCTCTTCGCCCTAAGGATCTTGAACTCCACCATTTCATGGTCACTACAGCCAAGGCTGCCCTTGAGCTTCACGTTCCACACCAGTCACTTCTTGTTGGTGAGAACAGCATAATACCTCTCCTTGTTGTCCCCTCTGCCACTTAGAAAAGAAAGTGAAATGTATCTCTATCAGTGAAATGTATCCTCTCTCACTCGCAGAAGGAAATGAAGTATATACATATATAAACTCAGGTGAATTTATTCAGATGTTGTGGTTGGGAAAGGCCAGGATGAACTCAGAGAATTCAGTCCTTCAGTAAAGATTTTCAGAAAAGTTTTAGGACTGACAACGATTTTGATTCCTATGACAATATTATTATCATCTATTACCACTTTTGTTGCAACAGGATTTAGAAGAACCAGTCTTGTTGAAATCAATGTGTGTGTACACACACACACACACATACTGCTATTTATATGAAAGATACATGTATGTGACAGATGGGAATACCTTGACTTTTGCCAACTACTCGTTATTTCACAAGGGGCTCTGCTGAGTCTGTTCTTTTGATAGAGGGTATTACTTGGCACCAAAATGATGCTGTACTTACTGACCCATTCATAAAGCTCTCTTGCTCTACAGACTTTAAAATGTAAAGACCTCATATTACAGAAGGATTAAAAAAAAAGAACAAAAATAATAGGATATTTTAATACAGACACACTGTGTGCGCAATTTGTAGATAGTTGTGGTTTAATCCTAGACAGCTGTTCAGCTCTACACCACTGCTCGTTCACTCCCCTCCATTATGGTGGGGGAGAGAGTCAGAAGAGAAATGTGAGAAAACTCTTGGGTTGAGATAAAGACGGTTTCATAGATAAAACAAAAGGTATGTACACAACCCTTAGACTATTTATGAGATCATGCAGTGATAGGAGAAGGGGCAATTGCCACGGGCTGGGGGAGAGGAGAGTGGGACCGCAACACTGCACAAAGGGTCCGAGTTGAGGTTGAAGGTCTGGTGCAATGGCGGTTTATTGAGGGTGTGCAGGGGTTTATATAAGCTCTGGCATGGAAAGGGCCAGAAAATGGGGTGGAGCATGAGAGAGACAACCAGGGGAACAAATAGGAGTAAGGACTCGGGAGAAGAGGGAGGAACTGGGGAGGAACTGACCAATGGTTGCTCTCTCCGCACTGCAGCTTCTTCAGCCAGTCAGAGGGAGAAGCAGGGAGAGCAGGGGAAAGACAACTCAAGGCATGTCTGGACATGCCCAGGTAGTACAACCGTAGGGGTAACATACAATGCACATATTTGAAACATGTAAGAACTGTAAAATCCATATAATAAAGTCCTTTTTCAATTGTTGTATATCTTTTTCCACGCCTGGAACCATTCCCACTCTGATTCCCGCTCCTCTACAGGTAATGGTTTCAAATTGAAAGAGAGTAGGTTTAGATCAGATGTTAGTAAGAAATTATTTCCTGTGAGGGTGGTGAGGCACTGGAACAGCATGCCCAGAGAAATTGTGAATGCCCCATCCCTGCCAGTGTTTAAGGGCAGGTTGGATGGAGCTCTGAACAGCTTGGTCTTGTGAAGCTTGTCTCTGTACATGGCAGGGGGATTGGAACTAATTGATCTTTGTGGTCCCTTCCAAACCAGGCCATTCTATGATTCTATGGTGCCATATGGTATAGAACATCCCTTTGGCTAGTTGGAGTTAGCAGTCCCAACTGTGCCCCCTCCTAACTTCTTGTGCATTCCCAGACTCCTTGCTGGTGGGGTGGGATGAGAGACAGAAAAGGCCATAACTCTGTGCAAGCACCATTTATCAGTAACTAAAACATCCTTGAATTATCAACTCTTCTTCCAGCACAAATCTAAAACACAATCCCATACCAGCTACTATGAAGAAAATTAACTCTATCCCAGCCAAAACCATCACACTATTCAATAGCAGTAATCACAGTAATTGCAAGTCATCATCTGGTTAGCCATTATCAGAATGTGGCAGGGTTTTATGCATTGCCATAGAAATGACTTTTCAGGATAAATTTGAAGGTCCAGAGAAAAAGGTATCTGCCCCAAGAACTGACTACTTTTCAGTATCCAATCTACATGGTATGCAGTATTGTAAGGAACGTGTATGCTGGAGACCATGCTATTGTGGTCCTTAAAGAAGAGTGTGAATATCAGAAACTCCAGATAAGCATAGGTAGAGCTTCTCGTTCCTGCGTTTGAATTGTCATAATGCGTATCCAAAAGAAGAAATGTTCTTTTCCTTGTGCTGTTGTCTGCATTTTAAAAGAAAGAAATTAAATCAAAGCTAAAGAAAAAATTGCTGTGCCGCTGGAAAACTCCAGAGTTGTGAATTAAAAAAAAAAAAAAAAAAAAAAGAGTGTTTTGTTTTCATCCACTCCAGATATCCTTCCAGGTAGAAATCATTAACTATCATTAACTATTAACTTCCTAAGTTCCATTGTCCCGCGAACAAGAAATCTTTGACTTATTCCAAGTTATAGATCATCTCTTGGTTTCCATACAACTCTATCTGCCAATCCATGAAGCCTATTTGAGTTTTGAAATGCCCTCCAGGGCTCTGCTCCTAGAGTCTGCACACTGGAATGAGGGCAACACGCGCTTAACGAATGTCTACTGGTTGGAAAATTGATCAGCTAAGCTGTGTGTGGATGTGTTTATCTGTCTTTATCTTCACCATTCTAACAAGAAACAGGAACATTAAACTACAGCTTGTGGCTCTCATTACTCTTACAGTAGCTTATAGCTAAAATCTGAAAGTATAGTTGTAAATGCAATATATTATTTGTTACCTTATTTTTGTTTTTATTGTTAGTCCAGATTCTGAAGTACTTAATGTTATTAGGTCATTACTTCAGATTTCAACCAAAATTAATAAAGAATTTAGGACTTGGCATCATCAACAGCCTTATAATTACGGTAGTTTTAATGAAAGCTATTTTGCATGTCATAGTCCTTGAAAACCTGACATCATTTATGGAAATGTTATTGCTATTGATTCCACTACATCGAGGATTTCACAAATGTCTTTCATTTTGATGAGTTGAAGCTTAAGCTTTAACTATTAACAGGCTTTAATAGAAGCCATAAGCTATATTTACTTAATTTGCTGCTGAAAATAGGCCATCTCAGGGGCAATAGCTACCTAATACTATGTTATTGCAGGGAGGTGGGGTTTTTTAGCCTGGAGAAGAGGAGGATCAGGGGAGATCTCATCAGTCTCTACAACTACCTGAAAAGAGATTGTAGCCAGGTGAGGGCTGGTCTCTTCTCCTGGGCAGCTATCAGTGAGACAAGAGGGTATGGTCTTAAGCTCTGCTAGGGCAAGTTTAGGTCGGATATTAGGAAGAAATTCTTTACAGAGTGTAATCAGGCATTTTAAGATGAGACTGGATGTGGCACTTAGTGCCATGGTCTAGTAACCACGGCGGTAGTAGATCGAGGGTTGGACTTGATGATCTCAGAGGTCCCTTCCAACACTGCTGATTCTATGATTCTATGATTCTATGACTATGATGCACATGAATCACAGAAGCACAGAATCACAGACTGGTTGGGGTTGGAAGTGACCTCTAGAAATCACCTAGTCTAACCCTGCTGCTAAAGCAGGTTCGACAGCAGCAGGACACTTTGCACAAGATCACACCCAGGCGAGTTTTAAATATCTGCAGAGAAAGAGACTCCATAATCCCTCTGAGCAGTGTGTTCGAGTGCTCTGCCACCCACAGTAAAGAATTTTTTCCTAAGATTCAGATTAAACTTCCTGTGTTTTCATTTATGCTCATTTCCCCTTGTCCTGTCACTCACTGGGCACCACTGAAAAGAGTCTGGCCCCATCCTCTTGACACCCTCCCTTAAGATCCCCTCTCAGTTGTCTCTTCTCCAGGCTAAACAGACCTGGACACAGCACTTCAGATGCAACCTCACAAGGGCTCAATAGATGGGCGGGATCACCTCCCTTCACCTGCTGGCAGTGCTCTGCCTAATGCACCCCAGGATACCACCGGGCTTCTTGGCCACAAGGGACTGCTGCTGGGTTATGGTTAACTTGTTCACCAGGACTCCCAGGTCCTTCTCTGGACAGCATGAAGCAGCATTCTTCATAAAGGAGTAAAGAATACACTGCCCATTAATATTTCAGAAAAAGAAAAAATTAATAATACCCCCCTCAACTTTCTTCAAACCGTCTCTAGCATTTGTGTGACAAGATAACGGTGAATATGAAGTTCTGGTATTAAAAAGATAAGGCTGAGTACTGTTTCTACTTCATTGATTTTCATGATTGTGAGTTAGCAGTCCTGTGTATTATGGTTAGATAGCAGTTGTGTAGCAGAC